GCGTGCCGGGCGCGGGGGGGGGGGCGCGAAGGAGCCGGATCAGGCCCCCAGTCCCTGCCTGCCCGGCATGAGCTGGCACACCTGGGTGCAGGCGCTCCCCCTGCACCAGCAGGGCTTCCCCGGCCCGGCCAAGTGCCACCATGGGCACCACGCTGGCACCGCGCTGGCAGCTCGGCAGCCGCGGGCCGGGAGGGCTGGCGAGGAGCGTTGGGACACATCAGCTCCCGCTGGCACTGCCCGAGCAAGGTCGCGCCCTCGCCGCGGCACGGGAGCCAGGCCAGGCGTCGGCGGTCTCGGCCCTGCAGTGGGCAGCGTGCCAACGCTGGCACAGGGTGTTCCCCGGGGGGGATGGGGGGGTCCTGTGGGGACCCCGCGCCTGGGAAAGCACAGGACGGGGATCCCGGTGGGGTTTGCTTGGGCAAGCGGTGACGTGTCCAGGGTGCCCGTGCTCGGCTGACCCTAGGGTCACAGCAGCGGGGTGCAGAGCCGGGGGGACCCCGCGGCATGGTGGGAGCTGTGCAGCCGGGTGTGTGCAGCAAGGAGAGGTGCATGGTGCGGTCTAAGCCGTGCCGTGGGGTGCCCGGTGCGGTACGGAGTGCGCAGTGTGGGGTGCAGGGGTGGGGGTGCACAGTGCAGGGTGAGTGCATGGTGTGGGGGTGCACGGTGCAGGGCAGGCTGCAGGGTGTGGAGGTGCACAGCACACGGCGAGGTGCAGGGTGCAGTGCAGGCTGCAGGATGCGGGGGTGCAGGGTGAGGTTCAGAGCGTGGGGGTGCGCAGCACAGGGTGCACTGTGTGGCACCGTGTGTGGTGCATGACATGCTGTGGGGTGCATGGTGCAGGAGTGCACGGTGCAGGGCGCACAGCGTGGTGCAGGGTGTGGGGGTGCACGGTGCAGGGTGCACAGCAGGGTGCGGGGGTGCACGGTGCAGAGCACACAGTGTGGTGCAGGGTGTGGGGGTGCACGGTGCAGGGCACACAGCGTGGTGCAGGGTGTGGGGGTGCACGGTGCAGGGCACACAGCGTGGTGCAGGGTGTGGGGGTGCACGGTGCAGGGCGCACAGTGTGGTCATGGTGCAGGGGTGCATGGTGCAGGGCACACAGCAGGGTGTGGGGGTGCACGATGTGGGGGTGCATGGTGCAGGGCGCACAGCACAGTGCAGGGGTGCACAGTGCAGGGCGCACAGAATGGTGCAGGGTGTGGGGGTGCAGGGGTGCACAGTGCAGGGTGCACAGCATGGTGCATGGTGCAGGGGTGCATGGTGCAGGGCACACAGCAGGGTGTGGGGGTGCACGATGTGGGGGTGCATGGTGCAGGGCACACAGCGGCG